AAATATAAATAAATACAAAAAAAAAGAAAAAAATACCTGGAAAGTCATTTCCCACCAAAATGGTGGACATTTATTTTCATCAAAACCATGGAAATTGTCACCATGTGAGGCCAACCAAGATAATCAATTGCAATGAAAAAATGGTTGGAATTTATTTTCATCAAAACCATGGAAATTTTTAGACGTACGGGTACACTCGATTTAAAAAAAAAAAAAAAGGATCATTTCATTGTTACTTGCCATATAATCGCGAAATTTGTCCCACTAACTTCGCTGCATTTTCGGTGCGTTAATTTCAGCATGCATTTCATCTTCAGCGTTTGGTAGCTCCACCTCGAAAGCATCCTCATCCGTTTCAGCTATAGCGAACGCCGCATCCACGACTCCAGAACGACGTAGAAAATTATGAATACCTATTGTCGCAAAAACAACGGCAACTTGAGTGCAAAACGAATAGCTGGGCATTCGATCGAGGATTTGCCATCTTTCCTTCCACACACCTAACGCACGTTCGATTACATTCCTGCAGGACGAGTGTTTGTAGTTAAACTGCTCACGAGCATTACGAAAACAACGACGACGACCTGTTCCATCATCGCGAAACTCTTGAAAATGGTACAAGATATTCGATCATTTGTAAGGGGCCATATATCCCGGTCGATGTGCGAACCCTGAGTCTACCACATAATACTTTCCTGGTGCTAGTTTCAGGAAATGAATTTCTGGACTATGTATAGCGTGAGCCAGTATACGAGTGTCGTGCGTATTCCCGGTTGTACCGCAAGCACGAAAGTGAAGCACAAATTAAAGTCACAAATAGCCACACATTTTGCGTTGACACTCCTTTTCGGCCAATGAAGTTCACCCGGTCATGACGCGGAAGCACATCTTTCACATGCGTTCCATCTATGGCACCTATGCAATCTTCAAACAAGGGATGCTTATTCGGGCCTGGCCTGTGGGGATCTGCACCCTCGTTGTAGTTTGGTCGCCGTATGAGCCGAGCAGATAACGCAACAACCGTACAAAGAACCTCCTTGAAGTAGTGACATACTGTTTGGAATGAATGATAG